CTGGAAACGTGGTCAGACCCTCCTCGAGACAGCTATTGACTTCGCCATGGGCCTGGAGGCCCGAGAGGAAGCCGCCTTTGGTCTGCAGCCAGATCCTGCCGTCTTAGCACGCACGATGAAACCGCATAGAATAGGGGAGCATGAGATTCCACTGATTCCAAGCTCCCAGTTCGTGAGTGATGAGAACGCCCGCGCGTGGGGTTGGTGTACAGGGCTTAGCAAAGATCATGACACTCGGCTCATGGCACTCCATGAACAGAGGGCATTTCGTCGGGAGGCAAGCCGGATTGCTGGGACACTCATTCCGTCTGACCCGCCTGGGTATCAATAAGGTCATATACAGCTCTATACGAGAAGGCGCGGGGTGATGGCTTGAAGAGGGAGTGAAGGAGGGAGAGATGGCGATTCCAAAGGGCAAATCTGGCATTCTGAAAGGTATGGTATAGCCAGGTAGGTACTACTATATAGACTGGAAAATCTACTAGTGATATTTCTTTCCCTGCAGCCTCTCGAACGCGATCCATGGCTGAAGCCGGGCCGCTTTTAACAACTGTAATGCTTCCCAGAGCTTCGCGAAGAATTTCGCTCTTCTCTCGCCGCGTTTTCTCCGGGGTTCGGGCTGCGAGATTCCGCCTGTGTTTGGATTGGCTGGCACTTGGGCCGTGCCTACCACTTTTGCTTTCGTGATTTTGGGGTTTGGCCAGGTGTCCGAATTGTAATAATGAAACCAGTCCATCGTGTCTCCTACTTTCCCCCGACATTTCCGTATCATCGGCCTCTCCAAAAAGTTTACGTAAGCCTCGTCACGACACCACAATATACCCTCATTCTCGCTGTCCTCGGCTAGTTTGTACGAGTCTGGGTCAAGGGCCTCGCACCACGAATGCGTCACCTTTCTGCACCCAGCATCGGATATATCACCGACGAAGATCTCACGCATGCATTTTAACGCCACGCATCGTCCGCTCTTGGAACAAGATCCAGCTTGCACTCCCAGAGTAGCACTTGGATGAACTTTAACGTGACAAGGTTGAGACATTGAAGTAGCGTAGCTGCCAGTTAGACGATAAGCTACGTAGGGTGGAGTACGTTAATAAGAGGAAAGACAAACTCTTGGGCGTTTTTCGGACCGCTTTTGATGGTTGGTCTTAGGGAGACCTTGGAAAACGTGTACGGTTTGCGAGAGGCGTTAAGTGATAAGAAAAACGATGAACAGGATTAGCTTCAGAATAGATTCTTCGCAGTGTCGACGAATGCCCGAAATTCACTGTTACCTGTGGCATTTCCAATCCAACCAATCGTAAACACTTGGAGACACGACAGGTAGTGCCAATCCCAAGACTCTGCAGACCCAGGAGGAGCCGGAATCCGCTTCGAATATGTATCTGGGCCGGTTGGGATGGAGGTATGCCTGATTCAACCGTTGCCAAGGCCCAAATTATCCTTCGCTTGCTAATTCTTTGCTCGCCTCGCGCACATTTCAGTTCGATGCGGTTCTGAACATTGATAATGTGGACGATACGTTGGGCATGTCAGAACCAGACCAGCATTCGGATAATCAACAATGCAGACTTCTGGAAGGTCGTTGGCCAACCAGGGCTGCGACAATGCCGTTGCCCGGGCAGCATCCCGCGTCTGATCACGCACAGGCGACTTCTCAAAGAGGGAGGTGGCGGGTGAGGATAAAAACAAGCCTCTTACCCAGCTTTATTCCATCTCAAATACAAACAAAAAAACACACACAATTCCAACCCCAGATTCAAGACCCCAAAGCGAAGCCCACAATGCCCCAACGCAACACCTCCAACACGTACACAGGCCCGTCCGTCCGCGAGATGATCAGCAGCCACACGCTCGCGCGCGAGGTGATTGCGCGCCACGACGACGCATGCCCCATCTTCGACGACGACTCGATCCTCGACCTGCGCCGCTTCGCGCGGGACCCGGCGCAGGCGCGCGATATCCTGCGCGAGCGGGGCCTGCTGGACGGCGAGGGCGAGGAGCTGGGCGCGGGCGCGAATGCGCACGGCAGCTTGAGCGGCCTGATTCTCGCCACGTGGGGAACGGACAGGTCGGTGCTCACCGAGAGAGAGCTCGGCGAGTTGAGGGCTTGGTTTGCGGGTGGGGGTGGGAGGACGGATGGAGAGACTGCTGCTGCGGGGGCTGGGGAGGCGTGATTTGGCAGAGTGCTGTTCGAATTGGTTGTGTGGCTATTAGGGGTTGTTTATTGGAATTAATGAAGATCAAGGTACTTGAACTATAAAGACATGACAACCCCCTGAGCTTTGTTTTTCTCCCGATTCCTACACTTCAATATGAAACTCACAGTTTGGCCTCTGCCCGACTGTCTAGTGATGCTGTGGTCAGTCTAGCGCGTGAGCGGAGAGCTGCCGGTACAGTCGAAGGGATCGGAGCCGTATTGGTAGAGAGGGATGCTGAGAGCACTGCATGATGGCCGGAGGCAATGGACAGCAGACAGCTGAAGACTCGGAGGAACAACAACGTGCAAAAGGTAAATAAGAGATGCTGTATTGGCAAAACAGTTGTTTCGACCCACGTGCGACTGAGATACCATATCACACGAGCCATCCCCCCCCCCCCCCTGTTAGCGCCTTGGCAATGGTTCACACGAGCCAACATCGAAAAAAGGCCATCATAAGTTTTGGCAATTGTGATGCGGGTCCAGAATTACCCCAAAACATGATGTATTGGATAATCACAATTAGATCAGGAACTATTTGTGAACTAATCGCTATGAATGCTTATTATGGCGGTCTAATTACGATTATATCGTGATTAGACGACCACTCGAGGTTTGCTTACGTAATCAATCCATCAATCTGAAATCCAGCACCAATATCCAATTATTTATTGACCCCTCCTCTATTCAATTCTTTCCCCAAACACCAAACAACTCACAACACCGCGGCCATGGGTGGCAGCTACCGCAAGTCCGTGAGTATTTACCGAATATTCCCCAAGCGCAAAACCCATGACCGTGATCATTTACTGAATATTCCTCACTATGACATGACCACGATTATTCCTTGATTGACTCCCCATCCCCTGACGCGACCATGATTGTTTGATTATTCCCTGGCTGTGACGTGACTGTGATCATTTCCTGATTATTCCCTATCATGACACGATTGCGAATATTCCCTGGTGGGATCATGACGCAATCATGATTAGATTCTGAACTAACCATGACAATAGGAAGCGTATGAGTGGTACGACTCGCTCGCCGAGCGTCCCCGCGATATCCCGCCCTTCGAAGTTCTTAACAACGGCGAGGTCGTCATCCCCCTTGCAGCGTAACCAGGATGAGGGTGGCAACCCCACCTTTTGCAGTACCAAGGTGAGTATTTGATGAATATTCCCAGTACGACCGTGATGATTTCCTGATTATTCCCCGATTAGACCCCTATGCGCTACCCGACCAACCTGAAGCGCCACGTTAAGTCACACGAAGTCAACGGCGTGCGTGTCAAGGTCCACCAGGCAAAGAAAGGCGGTCTCACCCTGGATAAGAACGAGGCGGTCGAGAGTCTGTCATGACTAGAAATTCTGACTATTTCCTGATTAGACCCTGAACTAATCACGATCTATTCAGCCCACTACATCCTGGTACGCAACAAGATTTTAAACAAAGATATTCGCCCCATCACCTTCCAGGCGCCCCTTCGCTCTGCCAACCCGACCCAGGTTATTCAGAAAGCTCCTCGCAGATCTGCTTCGCCCAGCCAAGCCTCGCCTACTCCCCGCCGCGACGTTTTACTGGTTATGCCAGTCACCAAGGGCAAGAAAACCGAGCCGCCTCATGTGAGTATATCCCGATTAGATTCTAACCATTTTACGATTAGTTCAGGAACTAATCAAAATTATTATAGCCCAAGCTCACCGAGATGATGAAGATGGTGGGCCAGAAAGGACCTTGCGCTGCCTGCAAGGCTGCTGGACCCAAGGGTACCCGCCGTAAGCTCATGATCATATCCTAACTATTTCGTGCTTAGTTCCCGAACTAATCACGATTATTCTTAGTCTGTTCCAAGGCTCGAACTCGTGTCTGCACCACCTGGGCTAAGTTTGCTGTTAGCCGTGATGAGCCGCCTATGGAGGAGGAGTCTTCGGAGGAGCTTTCGGATGTGAATTTGGATGAGGTTTCGGGAGATGGTGAGAACTAGATGATCATTATTTCATGATCTAATCAGGATGACTTGCATTTACAACAGGATCGTTTATGGGAAAGGTAAGGAAGGTTAAGGAGGGAGGTATTGAAATTATATATATTATTAAAAATATAATAACTATATAAGTAACTTATACCTTATCAATAGTCTGATCTATCCTACTGGCCAATCATTAACTAATCAGTGAGTAGGTCATGATTGGTTTCTGGATATCCGATAATGTTCTCGGCCAAGTGGATATGACTGACCGCTCATTGATTGATTACTGAATGGTCACTGATAGGTGCCCAAATGTTCAGACTCACCGATACAGCTCCTGCATACACTATTTTAGCATTCCATTTATCGGCTCTCCCGCTCAGTTTATGATAGATCTCTAGATATCCCATGATGTTCTTGGTTAAATGAATGTGACTGACCACTCACTGATTGATAACCGAATGGTCACTGATAGGTCCTCGAATATTCACAGACTAGTCACCGATACAGCTCCTGCATGCACCATTTTAGCGTTACATATCCCCCCGCCTTTGAGTGATATTATATCTATTTATATGATTTGTTATAGGTATGGCTAGGGATAGAATGGTTGGGGAAGGGGTTGGGGATGTTATTTGGGAATGGTGGGTGAATATTCAGTGAATGCTCGTTGAATGGTTGGTGGTTATTCGGGGTCTAGTGTGGTCTTGCTCGCATTGCACGAGTATGTACGGTCGCATTTTCCAGTTCTTTTTTTCAATTCTGATACACTGGCCATGGCTCGTGTATTGCCAAGGCGCTAACAGAGGGGGGGTGACTCGCCTCGTCCGACACCTCCATGCGACTCGAACACACAATCTTCTGAGTAATTTCTTGTTACCGAAATCAGACGCCTTACCATTTGGCCAGCAGGCCTACCTTGTTTAACAAAAGCATCTTTGCCAGGCTCCGCTATGGCGTGTTTGCGAGTGCTTGCTAGGAGGTGGAGTACGGTTGTGGAGTGTTGTAGAGACAAGCGCATACATGTACATTGTGATTAACAATTGGCCACTCCTATGAACCGGCTTGTCCGAAAACAGAGCATTCATCGCCAAGCTTGTTCCTCAAACTCATCCCTTTCAGCAGGTCGGGACAAGATGGATTTTCTTGAGAAAATCCGGTTTTGCCAAAGTTCGGCCTATTTTATGCCGTTTTTTTTACAATGCTTATGTGGTGTAGGATCCTCGGCATAAATGCAAAGCCCGAAGGATCCAGCTGAAGGGAGGTACGGAGTGGCGACATGGTGGTTGACAATATATTGGTCCAGATCGGGAGCTTTCACCAAGAGGCCGAGGACCGTGCTCATGGCAGCCTTGCTATCAGCTCCCTTGCAGCGCAGAGGTAGGGCAAGCCAATGCACGAATGTCACGGCGACCCAGACCATGTCCAACAAAGTCAAGGGTGGAGTGGGCACGGGGAATTAGAAGTTACAAACCAACAAGTAGTTGTCAGCGTCCCGCAGGAGATACTACTAGTTGACGCGTGAACAAGCGATTAGGCCGTTACTGGGCACAGGGGTCTTGTTTCGCGGCATTACACCCCCGATGGCGTCAAGTAATCTAAGTACCTCAGTTTCATGGATATTCCGAAAAGGGTGCTGATCCCAAGGTCAAGATGAGCTTGAGGACTGCTTTCCAGTTCTAACTCTGCATGTGGCTACTGGCTTCAGACATTTGTAAGTTGTAGCGCGCCTAGAAACCTGAGTTTTTAAGTGCAGAACAATGAGGACATGAAGCCACAAAGGGTTACCCGCTACGAGTGTAGCATCCAATACTAAGGTAGTAGGTATGTGTAAAACTAGCCGAGTCCCAATCGGGAATGCGTTAGCAAATAGTGCTTAGGCGTTCCGTACAGCCCCGGGAAGAGGGGCAGATGGGCATATAAATACCATATATGGATTGAACCGTTGATCTTCAACGAAGCTACACTACCTTATCTAATTCAGCTCTCTAGATAGTCCTTTTTAAGCGTTACATTGAGATTTCTGTCCTAATTATCGGCTGTGCTTTAGTTTGCCTTGCCCAAGTGTATGTGTATTACTCGACGCGACCACACCAATGTAGCGGAATTGTTTGGTTTGAGTACAAACTATTGAGGCGCGTGACGCCAAATGACCAAATTTGTATAGTCTCCGAGATGGTAGGCACAAGGTGGTTGTCTCGTGTGGAGAGCGATACCTCTCTTGGCGATCTCGGCCGGGCTAGCGTGTGGCGGCAGTGCCGGTGAGGCAGAAGGGCAACCCAATTTAAGCCAGCACTAGGCAATCACAGTATTTACCGCCAAAGCGGCCTATCAGCGAGGCCCGCTGTAGCACACATTGTTCCGGCCATGTCTCTCGCTTAGTCGTCCAGCGAAATATTGACAAATATTGACTGCACGTGTGCTTTGCTTCACGCAACGTGTTGCCCGCTTCGCTCTTCACTGACATCTAGCACCGAAGTACGTGGTTTATTAGAGTCGGGCGAGTCGTTGCATTGCGCAAGCACCGCCTTAAGGCTTGCGCTATAAGGAACCCGATATCTTGGCAACTTGGCATCGACTCCCGCATCTTGGCATCCCTTTATTTCACGTGTCGACTTATACACCTTCCTCTGTCTCGCTTTGCGCATCATGCGTTTCCTCGCCGCTGCCGTGGCGGTCACGGCCGCGTGGGGTGCTCGGGCGGCATCCAATCTGGTGCCCGACTACGAAGTCAAGCTCCTGCTGGACCCGACGGCGGTGCTCGGAGTCGATCACAAGCTGGTGGCGACTGTGTTGGCCGAGTTCTCCATGCCGACCACCGTGACCAAGATGAACGTGCAGTTCCTCGACAAGAGCGACAAGACGATATACAACGCCGGCTGGAGCCCGCGCATCCGCAAGACCGAGGGCGAGGCCAACTTTGAGCTCACGTACAAGAAGCGCTACGGCGTCACGAGCGGCAACATCGACGGGTCGCTCTCGACTGCCAACGCCGACGGCTTCGACTCGACCGACACCAACTACGACGCCCAGATCGAGTGGGGCTACACGGCCAAGACGCTCTCCATCAGCCGCAAGAAGTCGTCGTCGGGCTCTGGCTACAGCGGCGAGGACCTCCCCAACCAGGCCGACTCGCGCTCCATCCTCATCGACAAGGCCCCCGGCAAGTTCGCCGACTGGGGCTCGACCGGCTGGGGCACCACGGCGCTGGCCTCTGCCCGCATCTACGGCCCCGTGCTGGCCAAGCGCTCCATCGGCACCTGGAGCGGGGTGGAGCTGTACATTGAGGTGTGGCCCATCCTCGATGCGGCCGGGACCGGCACCGAGTATGTCGTCGAGGCCTCGTTCAAGACGACGAGCAACACCACGGCGTCAGACCTGCATGACGATCTTGTTGATCTGCTCACGCTCAAGGGCTGGTTTCTGGCGCAGGACTCGTTGAAGACGCAGCTGATCATGGATCGCTACTAAGTGTTGTCTCAAGCCAATATATCCGCTATTCAAACACAACTCTAGGTACCCTGTCTGTACTGGTAGCAATTACAAGCATCATCTCCGCTATGTCATGGGTACAAAGCCTTGGGTGTTGACTTCTTCGGGGCCGCAATCCTGTTTTTCCATGGCACCTTTCCTTCGAAAGGCTCCTCGCCCTCCATAAAGTCCAAAATAGGACCCTTGCTGATCGTCGAGCCCATCATCAAGCTGACCATCTTTCCCTCTACCAGGGTAAGGGAAGGCAATAGATGACGATCGAGGACATAGTAGGTCCAGCTGCTCCAGACCGACATTCTTGTCGTCCCAGCCGACGACTTTAAGTCTTTTCGCACGGCTTTCATCCGAGAAGTTTGGTATCGGGAAAAGGCCTTGGTGAGGGTACCCACAGGCAATGAGGCAGAGTTATCGACAGGTACGATACGATGCAGTTCACTGACAAGCCTTGCGACATCCTGTATCCCGTTGTTGTACCCCAGCCCCTGATTCGGCGTGAACTTGTGGCACGCATCGCCAACCAGGACGATGCGGTTCCAGCTCCAGTGCTTCACTATCCCCTCCTCAAGATTCGCCATGCCGGCCGTGTACCGTTTTTCAAACACATCCTTGACCTTGAGGTGCTCGCTGATGGCGTGCTCGCCAAAGCGCGCAGCGAAGGCTTCGACGTCGTCCCGCGAGTACGTAACACGGTCCCCCGTCGGCGTTTCCAGGCGCTCATAGAGAAAAATCCACGATCGGTCCTGGCCGACAATGCACTGGAGCGAGACGTCATCGCCGTGTATGTCGATGGCGTCGCCTGTTTCAAAGCCCGCCTGCCGAGGAAAGGTGCACCACAAGGCCCGGTATTCAGAGAGGTACGGCTGCTCCTTGTTGACCTTGGAAGCCGAGGCTTTCAGGGCGAGCTCGCGCATGCTCTGGCGGACCTTGCTGTGAGTGCCGTCGGCGCCGATGATGATGGAGCCGTGGTATGTGCTGCCGTCTGCGCAGCGGGCTTCGACCCCGTCAGGGCTGACAACGATGTCGGTCACCTTTTTGCCGGTGAGGATGCAAGCCTTGTCGGCCTCGCTGAGGTTCTCATGGAGGACGCGGAGAAGGTGGGCTCGGTGGAAGATGGTTTGTCGCGAGCCGTGACTAGGAGTAAGACGTTGGTATACCAATGAACAAGAAACCCATAACTAAGCCACCACTCACTTATTTTTGATGACATCGAGAACATGGCTGTCCCTGTACTTTTCCCCATCAAGCGTCAGGCTCTGAGTCCGGCACATGCCAACCGAAATCTCCCGGAGGGGCTTCAGGAGGCCAAGCTGTGCCAAAACACGCAAACCATGTGGCCATAGGACCAGGCTGGCCCCAACGTCTGTCGTGACCGAGAGGCGATTTTCGAGAACGACATAGTCGATACCGGCTTGCGATAACGCGTGTGCGGCTGTCAACCCGACAGGCCCGCCGCCGATGACGATAACTTTGAACTTGGGATTAGACATTGTGCCGACTGTTGTGATAACAAGAGAAACTAGTTTTGGTACAGATGTTGTCGTATATAAGATGATGGGCTGGCTTGAATCAATCGTGTAATTATAGGGACGGGGCCGACACAGTCAGAACTCTAGCTGCACCGACATGCGGAGTTTTGCGGAATTTGGCATCGATTTGCGGCGGAGGGGCGGAGTTACATCCAGGCACTTGCCCTTGGCGCATTCGAATCCGAGTCTTTCGCATCTCAACGTCGGGACCTTTCAACTTTGCAATTCAAAACCAAGATGGAAAGTCCATCAGCAACAGTCCGCGCACCACCCGCGCCGAGACAGAAGAACTGCAACAGCTGCGTCCAGACCAAGAGGCGGTGCGACAGGCAGCCGTTGTGTTCGCGATGCGCCGAAAAGAACATCCCCTGCATCTACAGCAAGGTCAAAGTGGCTGGCCAGCCTGACAAGCACCGCAGCGGAGATGGGTCGACGGATGGGACGGAGGCGCTATCATTTGAAAGTCCCCCCTTTTCCGAATCCCCATGTGCCTTTGCAGCCGATCTATCCTTCAGCCTGGCCTTCCTCGAAACTGAGACTCGACCGTCAGATTCTTACCTCAGCGAGATTGCTGAGTCTGACACGCCCCGGGCCCAGCCTATCACAGACGCATCCGGTAGTAGCGAAGACACCCCCATGGATTTTACCGACTTTGGCAGGCCTGGCCAGTGGCTCATCCCGGCCGAGGAGAGCCTCCAATCGGCAGAGCGTCCGAGCACGCCCGCCGACGACGAGATTGTGAGGGCATATGACAAGATGACAAACACATGTGTAAGCACGCCTCTATCATTGAAATCAAACAGAACCCCCCCCTCATCGCCACAGCGTGGTACTAACCATCACCCCAAGCAACAAATCGAGCCATGGCACCTCTACGACCCCACAACACCGCTGTA